ATTTTGTTTCTTTTTCTCTGCTTGGTTATTTGCTTCTTCTATTTGGTTCTCTGTTTGTCTCTCTTCATGTGTAGGACAAAATTACACATTTAAAAAATTGATAACTTAACAATATCATCATTGCATTTAATATTTATTTCTCAACGTTTGTGGTGATTGTATTAATGCGTAACTTTTAGTTGAGAATTGAGAACAGATAGTTTAACTATATATTTCACATACGTATGCATGTTTAATTATTATTTGACAAAGTTATATCATACAGATTAGAAAGCATAATGTTAATTTAAATTTGGGTTTTAGGAGGAACGACTAAGGACCACTTGAAAATAGAGATGGTTGTGTCAGCATTCAGGTGCAAAGCCTGTAAATATGTTTTGTTTTTTGTTTGATTTTTCTAGTACTATTGGTGGATAGTCATGAAGTACCACATTAGTCTCATTTTTTCTTTTCTTTTTTAATTTATAAAAAATATAAATGAAATAAACATATGGTATTGTAAAAATTTATCAATCCTGCTAGGTTGTTTTTGGGAAGTTTTCTTGATTGCACTGACATTCAAAATTTGTATCAACATTACTTGGTTGCAATAGAGAGCATGAGCTTAGCTCATTTATTGTCTATTTGAATAGAATTTGAGGCTAAATTCAAGTCCAATTAATACTTAGAGTTGAGTTCTAAGTTAAAATAAACTCGACTCAATCATTATAAATTTCTTGGTATATGAGTCCAATAAGGGTACTGATTGTTAGTGTTTCAACACTCATTGTTAAGTTATTTTTTATTATTAAATATTCCAATCTTCGCTTTACATGTGAAAAAAAAAAAAAAACTCTATAAGGACATTTCTTTTTCTTTAAACAGAAGATAAATAATAATATAAAAATATATTATTGTGTACCAAAATAAAATAAATACTTATATTATATTTAATAACGTGATTTTAGTTTTCAATTTTGAGCGCAGAGTCAAACTCAAACACTTTCGTATTGCCTTTTAGCTTATCTTATTTGCAATTTAAGCATACATATACTTTACAACCACAAACAAAAAGCAAATTCAATTTATACAAAGTAAGAAAGAGATAGGCGTATAATCATGAATGTCCTCACCCTAATTATTGAGGTGGATAGATTTTCATACCAATAATGATGATTTTGTAGATAAGGATCATGATAGATGAAGCAATAGAGAGCTCCTAATTGAAGAATTTTCTGATTAATGTGTTATGATTTGGCAAACATTGGTGTGCTTGTCTCTATAGTTTGGTGAACTTGCTTATTCTCACACTTTTATTATGAAATTCACCCACCACCTACACCTAGCATATGAATGTGGCATATCCCATGAATCATGCTCATTGAGATTTAACTAATCATATGGTCATTGGACTTTTTATCTTTTAATCAATTCTACTACCAACACAAAAGTTAATTGTAGAATTTGACATATAATATTTTCTTCTTCTTCTTCTTCTTTTTTTTATTTTTTATTTTTTATTTTTTTTATCAATTTTGTTATGAGCACCAAAATTAATTATAGAACCTCACATATAGTACTTTTTAAAAGGACAAGAATTTACAAGATTTATTAGTGAGGTTCACTTTTTTTTTCTTCATATACCTTCTATGTTCAATACTGTGATGAGTTTTTGTGTTTTAGATTTTATTTTATTTGTTTTACCCTGTAGCTAATGTATGCTTTTCAGAAGTGAAATATAAAGTTGTTGATGTTAATAAGATTAATGGATGGTATGTACTTTTTCCACTAATGAAATGGAGATACTAAGCAAATTCTTGCTAGGCAATAGATTGTGCCATCATTTTCGTGGTACCGTTGATATGATGGCAAAGTTATCTTCAACACATGTTTACTAGCTAGCTTCCATTGTTCCCTACGAGAACCACTTTTTCTTTTCCTCTACAATCAAATATGAATACACCTTAAAGTTCAAGATTTGAGGATCCTGCTGTATTCAAAGGTACAATAGGCTGTTGTGCACCCTTGCAGAGGGTCGTCCTGAGCCTCTTTCAATAATCTGAACCGTTTATATTGTAGGATTCATCGAGTAGATCATCGATGCAAAAAATCAAGTTGATTGAATATCTGGAGCCCTATAACCAAAACACATTTGTTTTTATAAAAATTAACGGTTAACATAACTTTTATAAATTTTTAAAAATAATTAAGATCTAATTATGGGGTTATGAATATTCGATTAATTTAATTTTTTACATAAAAAATATTCTCGACGAACCTTATAATATAAACGGTTCAAATTATTAAAAAACATTCGGGACGAACTCCCACAAAGGAACACAGCAAGCTACTTTGCCTTAAAGACGCAGCAGCACCGGAAGTCCTCTATACTCACCTTATTTTTATACAAAGTATAAATAGGGCTGAGCAAGAAATCCGTAAAATTCGTAATCCGATCCAGTCCAGTCCATTTACTGTTCACTGTCACTATTCACCCAGTCAACTTTTGTTGAAAGCTGTTCAAATATTCAATGAATCCACCGAAAGCACCCGACAGCATCTACTTTTCACATGCTCGGCCAGCTGCTTTCAGAAGTCACATGTTTACTGTGTTACTTTTTATTTCTTTATATTGTAATCAATTGGAAGGATTCAGGCATTCTTCAATTTTCTTCTCCATTTCTGTTGTAAGAAAAACCAGAGTGTTTTGAGAGCCTTACCAGTTTCCCCGTTGTACCTATTTAAGATCCTTGCAGTTGCTACTAATACAATTGTAAGTTATTTTTTTATGTCAAATGTTTTAAGTTTCAGTTAAGTAATTTAAATGTATTAAATGTTTCCAGTACATGTGCATCTATATGCTGCTTCCGCCTTTATATATATATATATATATATATATATTTGAGTGTACATAGATGACATGTAACAACCCACATTTATGTCTTAGTCATGTTCATGAGCATTTGTATGATTATGACTCGTTAAGCTTGCATTTGTATGGTTGTGACTTGTTTTGCCTAAGTAAGGTCTATGTCTTATGTTGTGTTTATGTGATTTGCCTAAGTGTTATGTGCATGCTTTGTTCCTTCACTACAACAAAAAACATTTTTGGCGACGCTTTTTAGCAACCAAACAAAAATTTAGTTGCCAAAGATACATCATTGGCGACAGAATAGTTGTGGTCACTAAAAACTAAACTTTTGGCGACGAATTTAAAATTTTGGTCACTATTGAGTTTGGCGCCAAGTGATTTTTTTGGGCGGGAGCGCTAAAAATAATTTGGCGACCAAATTAATTTTTAGCGACAAAAATTTTAGTCACCAATTATATGTATTTGGTGACAAGCATAATTTGGTCGCCAAAAATTTAAATAATATTTATGGCAACCAAATTTATTTGGTTGCCAATAAATTATTTGTTTTTACCCTAATTTTTTATTGCCAAAAATAATTAACTGAGTGAATAAACAAACAATTGATCATCACTTTCCTTCTCACTTTCTCACACCATCTGAAACGGCACACACGGGTCGATCCAGGTAATGTTTTCTTCTTTTCTTCTTCTTCTCTCTCTCTTTCCCCTTCTCCCTCTTGCTCTACTGCATCACCGAATGTGAAAGGCACCGGAGCGCTGTTGACAGCAGCGCTGCACGGCGGCAGATCGCACCCTCTTTTCGGGTCGATCCCCTCTTCTCTTCTCTATCTCTAATATGTTGAATGTAGTCCCTTTCCCTCTTGCTTTCTCGAGTCGTCGGATGCCAATGGCACAACACCGCTGGGCAGCAGCAGCGCTGGGCGGCAGATCGATGCCCTCTTCTTTGGGTCGATGCCCTCTTCTCTCCTCCGGGCCAAATGATATTCTGAATGTATTTTCTTAAACCAATTTTTAAAGTTACAGAGGTGAAATAAACTAATTTTTATTTTATTTTTGATATGTATTATATCTGTTGTGTGACCTAGATGAACTATATGTCTAGTAGTGACTCCAAATCAGTAGAGCTTCAGCTATAATTGCATGTGTGATTACCTTCATTCTGTTTTATGTTGTAAATGGTTGATCTGTTAATGTAGATTACCTCCTCTCTCTTAAGAAATCCAAATATGCGAGAGATAGTTAATGCACCATGATCAGATTTTGTCGAAATATGCGTCAAACTGAACTATATCTGTTTGTTGATGTATGTCAATAGCTTGAGGTTCATGGTTAGTCATCTTAGGTATCTTAGAGAATGGAACACTTTGTGAAGAGATTTCAATTAAGCTTTTTTTTATGCTAATATCAACATTTTGTCTGAAGACAGTGGTATGGAAATACTTTAGTCACTTACTTTTTAAAAAAAAATGCTAAGATCTTGTGCAATATGTAAAATTTGTATAAGCATTTTTTTTGAGTTATTAGAGAAAAACATGCAATGGATCTTTATTGACACTAGCAGTAGATCTCTGTAGTTATGGTTTCCTTTTCTTTTTGAATTTTCCCTCTTGACATATATTGGCAGTAAAATGGTAGTTTATTGGTGCGTCATGGTTGGCTATTCATTGACCTGACAATCTGTAAATCTATACAGTTTGAGTATGTGGTTGTTGTTGGTGTTGGGTTGTGATTTATAATGAACACTTTGAAAAACATGGTATTATTATTACTAATCTGTTGCAAATCTCATTCTAACCCTGATGGTTATGGAGTCGATTTTACTATATCTGTCAAACTAATTGAAGACAATTCTCTCCTTTTTGTCATGTTTCTTCATGAATGTGTATACAAATCTCAAACTTGTAATCTGTAATTGCTTATGCCATATACCATTTAGTGGAGGAGTGGAAATGAGTTATGCATGTTACTCACCTTTCCTTGTTATATGCTGCGCTTGGGTTTTTAGTTTTTTCCCCTGTTCTACTTTGGGTATCAGCACTTGTTTTTGCATTTATTGAATGCTCTTAGTTCACATGTTGCACTTAGTTCCAGGACAATGAATTATATCAAGTTGAACTTATCTGTTCTGGTGCCTTTTGGTGGTCTTTTTATGCAGAGGTGTTGGCCCCTTTGGTCCAGATATGGTCCGCAAGTATACTAGTGCTAGATTTGGTTCATATTCAACTGGCCAAGTTTTGAATGAAGAGGAGTCCAAATTACTGTCAGGTATTTAAAAGGTTTAACTTTTTGTTTGTGGCACATTTTGACTACAATAATCTAATAGTTGCTATTTCAATTGAAGAATATGTGTACCACACATTGGCGGCCAAAGCCAGTGGAGAGCTGTGTTTAAAATATATATTTGCATTTGGAGCATTTACTCGGGTGCCTTTAGAAAGGTGCGGTGATTCTCCTCCTAAACTTGTTTAATGGATTTGTAAAAGATAATTGCTGCCAAATGGCATGAATTCATCATGTAGAAATGATAGTGTGTTTTTTAGCAAGTAAATAAAAAGAAATGAAAGTGCATTTAAATTCCCCACCTAGGAAGGGTTGGAAGGTAGTGAGTGACTATTATATAATGATCTCATTCCTTTGGGGTGCAGTGCATCCGAATGGATAGTGCCAACGACATTTATATATGGCTACGAAGATTAGATGTCTTACGAAGGGGCCCAAGATGCTCGCAAGCATATGAAGGTTCCTTGTGAAATTATAAGGGTCCCTTAGGTTTCTCTCTCTCTCTTCCCCCCTAAATTTGTCAAACTGTGCCTTCTCAATTTCATAAAAGATCTGTTATATGTTTTTCGATTTTCTTAGCTAGTTTTTGAAGGTTGAGTTTTTGTGGGCTTGCTTTACATTAACTTGGCTTTTTGCTCTCTCTCTTCTCTCTCTCTCTCTCTCTCTCTCTCTCTCTCTCACACACACACACACACACACACACACACACACACACACAAATTTGTTTTCTAAATAGCACAAAGGACCCAGGGCAGAAGCCATTCATTCAGCTTTACAATTGGCCAAGGATCCATTATTAAAGGTAAAATTTATTATCGTATAATGCTGTATCTATTTAAATTATGTATTCGACTTGTGTGTGATGTAGATGCATGCATCTTCAATTGTAGGCCCTTTATTTTCCCTTTTTATTTTATTTTATTTTTTAACAACATTTTGTATATTTTAACCATATGATAGCATTGGATTCTCAATTTAGAAATGTTTTTCGGTACGAAGTTGGAGGACTTGATTTAACATTTAAAAATGCATTATTCTAATGCATCAGAAAACTTTTGAGATTGAATTGTTTGTCTTGATAAATTGCCCTAACAATCCCATTCATTACTCTCTCTGTCTCTCTCTTTCTCTCTAATATGACTTGTATCAATTATAGAAACATTTTTCACTGTATGATGGACATGTTATCAAGATCATAGTTATAAATCCTGTTTTTGACTGGCCAAAATGGCTCAGTATGCACCAAGGTTGCTATTAGTTCTTTCATGATGTTGCGCCCAAGGTTTATTCATCCAAATACAGGTGCTGCTTCAAATGCCGCTGCACCGTCATAGGCTTCAAGAGCTGCAGTGGTGCCAAATGCAAGCAGTCGACTAACAGCTGCCTCAGTAGTTCCAGTTTTTGATTTCTATAGTGGGTTCCCAAGGAAACCATCTCTCTTAAGAGTTAGGGAATTTGAAATTTGACAACAAAAAATAGATGCTCTCATGAGACCTATGAACCAATTTTTGTACAAAGTTCAAGTTCTGTTAGGAGATTTTATTTTTTTATTTTTTTCTTTATTGTTGAACTATGGCTTTTGATATATCTTGCACAAGACCTTGAGCTCTACAAAGAACTCCTTGGACTTGTTAGATCTCATCTTCTTAATCTGCAAAGAACTGCTTGGATGATTTAATTCCATATAGGTATGGCTACTATCTCTCTATTGGCCGTGATGGCTATTGTAGGTTTAATGCTAGTTGGTTTGTATGGTGGGATGTGTGAGCTTTGAGAGGAACTAGAGAAAAGAAAATGAGAGTTTAGGAAGGAGACTAGTAGAGTTTAGGAAGGAACTAGAGTTTAGGAATGAGAGTTTCAAAGAAATGATGATTTATTATCCCTACGTTTTTGAGATTGCTGCTATATTTTGTTTTAATCTGGGGACCAAAGATATGTTTTAATTTCATTATCCTAATGTTAAACTCATATTATGTTTCCTAAGAACACTATAATGCTATACTAGAAATGTCACACATCTCATAATTTACTTTTGCAATATCAGACAACTAATTATCACTAAATATCATCAGCAGTAAAGTATGATTTGTTGGCACAATGCTAGCAAACTATTCATATTCATTCTAGTTTTTATTTGAGGAACTTTTTGACCTTAAATGTAAGTAAAAGCAACCTCAAGTTTATGATTTAGGCCCTTCTGATTTCAATTTAGTCATGAAGTAAAGTTAGCACTTTGGATTACATCTCATTCCAGTGGTAGCTCCTACTCAATTGATATTTGCTCTTGTTTTGGAACCTTGAAATTGGATTTCATCAGTATTCCATAATGACATAATTTGAGCTAGGTTTGGTTGGATAATATGTGACTGATTTACAAATTTATAGAGATATTTCCTGTAATTAGTTCATATATGCCAAGTTTAACTGGTGAATCATGTGTTACTTTTTGATTTTGGTATATTGAAATTTTGTAATTCACCGTAGGAAAACTTGCTCTCAATTTGTTCATCTATAATGTGAAACCAATGTTTTTAGACCAAGACCTTGATTATTAACATTTTAACATTATAATTTTTTTTTTCATATGTTTGACAGATTGGCAATGGATGGAATATAGTTCGGGGAGCATCAAATGATTACATTTTGAATTTTGGATATATTTTGTCATAGGTTTTTGTTATGAATTTGCAAGCTTGGAAGGTTTTTTGGAATTATATGTTTGAAGTTTTTTTCATATGTTTGACAGATTGGCAATGGATGAAATATAGTTCGGGGAGCATCAAAGGATTACATTTTGAATTTTTGGATATATTTTGTCATAGGTTTTTGTTATGAATTTGCAAGCTTAAAAGGTTTTTGGGCATTACATGTTTAAAGTTTGGGATTGTAAGAGATTTGTACTTAAATTAGATGTTTTGGATTTGATATGTTTATATTTAATATGGTTCTACTTTTGAATTAAGTTTATATTTTGGATGCTTTGCAAAGTGTGTTAATTTGAATTATATTTTGCTTATATTTATAGGTTTTTGAATTATGTATTGAACAGGGAAATTGTTAAATTTTTTTTATAAATAATGAATTTTTGGTGATAGATTTTTTTAGTTGTAAATTTACTTTTGGTGACATTTTATTTATGTTGCTAAAAGTATGTGTCCATAATTTTTTTTGCAACCCAAAACTTGATTGGTCGCCAAAAGTTTTAACATTCAACAACCAATTCTTTTAGTCACTGAAAGATATTTTTAGTGACACATTTATATGTCGCTGAAACTTAACATGTCATCAGCTGAAGGCTGCTTTAGTGACTAAATGTTAATTTATGGCGACAAAATTTTAGTCTTTTGGCGACCGAAATATTTGGTCGCCAATTTATTTATAAAGGCAACCAAAATTGATTTGGTCACCGAAGCACTTAGTGACAGGGCTTTAGCGACCAATTTTGTTCATGTCGCGGATACTTTCAGCAACCAAAATTACACTTTTGGTGACTAAAAAACAGGTCGCTAAAAGTGTTTTTTGTTGTAGTGCTTCCTTGGTGTCTTGAGCCTAAGTTATGTTAAGCCTAGATCATTCCAAGCCGAGGTCATCTTCAGTCTAGAATTGTCTCGGAACCCCTTTGTTTGACCTCCATCTTCGCCCTGACATATTGGCCGAGATGTCATTATCTAGGCCGAGGTGTTCATCACCAAGGCCGAGATGTGTATTATCTAGGCCGAGATGTTACCTTTGCACCTAAGTGATCTTGTCCTGGAGTGGTATGACCTAGACCGAGGTGTGGCACATCTAGGCCAAGGTGTGGCACAACATAGTCAAGTGTTGTCCTTCCTAGCCGAGGTCATTGTCACCTTAGTTGCCGAAGCTTTGTCCTTAGCCGATGTCATCACTTGCCGGAGTGCCTTACCGAGTAGCTTGTTAGATACACTTTGTCCTAGTCTTGTGACTAACTAGATTTGTATATATTGCTTCCGCACTTGTGAGTCCTATATATTTATACTCTGATTGTGTGTGAATTTTTGTCAGTTGTCCTTTAGTAATCCTGGATTACTGGCCATCACGGCACCATTCTACTAGGGGCGGTTTGGGGCTAGGGGACGGTTAAGCCTAAGTAGCACCCTTGTTAAGATATCGGCCACCGACGTACTATGAACGGGTGTGCTCGATGCCGAAGTTATGCTTTTGTTTTGCCCGGAATGTCATCACCCATGTTTTAAGTTGACGTATGTTAAGTAAGTAAGTAAGTTTTGAGAGACCAAGGTTCGATTGATGTTTTATTTCAAGCCAATCTAAGCTATGTATGTATGGTTTTGGTAAAGATATGCTATGTATTGTTTTGAAAGGATCTCGGGTATCATTCATTAAAACCTTTATTACTTATACTATTCACTGAGTATCCAAGCTCACCATCCCTATGTATATATGTAGGTAACAAACAAGAAATCAGTTACGCTGAGATGTGTGTTTTGTATGTATGTTATGTCGGCAATCTGGAAGATTATGTTTCTCGACTTGTAGCTTTTGTATTTTGAACATGTCGGCTTTAGAAGCCTTTTAGTCAAGATGTAATATGTATTTTTGTACTTCATTTTATTTGTATTCAAGTTGTAAAGTTATGTAAAGTTGTATGCCATTCTATTTGACTTATGCACAGCTCTTATAATATGGTTCTACTTTTGAATTAAGTTTATATTTTGGATGCTTTGCAAAGTGTGTTAATTTGAATTATATTTTGCTTATATTTATAGGTTTTTGAATTATGTATTGAACAGGGAAATTGTTAAATTTTTTTTTATAAATAATGAATTTTTGGTGATAGATTTTTTTAGTTGTAAATTTACTTTTGGTGACATTTTATTTATGTTGCTAAAAGTATGTGTCCATAATTTTTTTGCAACCCAAAACTTGATTGGTCGCCAAAAGTTTTAACATTCAACAACCAATTCTTTTAGTCACTGAAAGATATTTTTAGTGACACATTATATATGTCGCTGAAACTTAACATGTCATCAGCTGAAGGCTGCTTTAGTGACTAAATGTTAATTTATGGCGACAAAATTTTAGTCTTTTGGCGACCGAAATATTTGGTCGCCAATTTATTTATAAAGGCAACCAAAATTGATTTGGTCACCGAAGCACTTAGTGACAGGGCTTTAGCGACCAATTTTGTTCATGTCGCGGATACTTTCAGCAACCAAAATTACACTTTTGGTGACTAAAAAACAGGTCGCTAAAAGTGTTTTTCGTTGTAGTGCTTCCTTGGTGTCTCGAGCCTAAGTTATGTTAAGCCTAGATCATTCCAAGCCGAGGTCATCTTCAGTCTAGAATTGTCTCGGAACCCCTTTGTTTGACCTCCATCTTCGCCCTGACATATTGGCCGAGATGTCATTATCTAGGCCGAGGTGTTCATCACCAAGGCCGAGATGTGTATTATCTAGGCCGAGATGTTACCTTTGCACCTAAGTGATCTTGTCCTGGAGTGGTATGACCTAGACCGAGGTGTGGCACATCTAGGCCAAGGTGTGGCACAGCTTAGTCAAGTGTTGTCCTTCCTAGCCGAGGTCATTGTCACCTTAGTTCCGAAGCTTTGTCTTAGCCGATGTCATCACTTGTCGGAGTGCTCTTGCCGCCTAGCTGTTTGAGTACACTTTGTCATAGTCTTGTCTTGTCAATCTATCACCTTTTTGAGGAGAGCCAATCAGCCGTTGCCACGTGTCCGAGCTGAGTGTTAAGTCAGCCGACAGAGGGAGAAACCTATCATTTCTATACTTGTTTTTGAAGAGGAGAGAGAAGCTCTAGGAGAGGAAGAGGAGTTCTTGAGGGAGAGTAGATTTCCAAGCTTGATCCCTAGAGATCGAACCGTTAGATCCGTGTTCTAAGGTTAGATTTCTTGATCTGCTCATGTTGTTCTTTATGTTCAGTTATTGCATTGCATGATTGAATATGATTTGTAAGCCTATGCATTGTTTTGAAGTTCGGTTTTAGAAAGAGAAAATAGTATTCATGTGTTCTTTAAGAAAAGTCATGTTTTGATCCGAAAGTTCATGCCAAGATCCATGTTTTTGTGTTTGTTTTCATATGATTTTCAAGTATGGGTACCCAGGTCTATGTTTTCGAACTCATAGCATGAAATCCCAAATTTTTGTAATAAAGAAGTTATGATTCTAGCATTCATGTTCTTCATGATCTTCATGTTCATGTTCTTCCTGTTCTTCACGGGTGGAAACCCAGATCTTCAGATCTCACTTCCCTAAGTGTAGTCGCTGAGATCACTCTTACCTAGACCTCACACTTAGGCCAAGCATCGTGTCTCACCTTGGCCTACCTTGCATGATCACTTACACCTTTAGTTTGTCTTGTGCGCACCTCGGCATGCAGCCGCATGCCGAAGCCTAGGTAGCCACACCTCGGCCAGGAGGTGTGGGACCTCGGCAAAGACCTGGTTGGTACCCAGCATGTCTTCCTGACATGTAAAACAATGTTTTGACTTCCAGTATGTTTTTCCGAGATCATTTGCATGCATGTAAGACTTGTTTTGAGAAGTACGTTCAGTAGACTTTGCCATGTGTTTGTAGTACTTGGACCCTTGCCTTGATCCCGACGTCTGAAGAGCTATGTGAGTGGTATTTTTAATAAAGCTATGTTATAAGGTTTTGATAAAGCTTTGCCTTGTTTTGATAAAAGTATTTGTTAAGCATGAATGATATCCCTATTTTATATATCAAGTATAAACTTTGTTTTGGATGACATTCTTGGAACCGTCCTTTCGTGTTAGGGGACGTTAAGCTTAGGTAACACCGTCCTTTCGTGTTAAGGGACGTTAAGCCTAGGTAACATAGTCCGTACGTGCCAGGGGACTTTAAGCATTTGTGGCACAAGTCCTTTCGTGTTAGGGAACGTTAAGCCTAAGTAACACCGTCCTTTCGTGTTAGGGGACGTTAAGCCTAGGTAACATAATTCGTACGTGCCAGGGGACATTAAGCATTTGTGGCACAAGTCCTTTCGTGTTAGGGGACGTTAAGCCTAAGTAACACCGTCCTTTCGTGTTAGGGGATGTTAAACCTAAGTAATATAGTCCTTCCGTGCTAGGGGACTTTAAGCCTATGTAGCATAGTCCTTCCGTGCTAGGGGACTTTAAGCCTAGGTAGCACAGTCCTTTCGTGTTAGGGGACGTTAAGCCTAAGTAACACCGTCCTTTCGTGTTAGGGGACGTTAAGCCTAGCTAGGGGACGTTAAGCCTAAGTAGCACCCTTGTTAAGATATCGGCCACCGACGGACTATGAACGGGTGTGCTCGATGCTGAGGTTATGCTTTTGTTTTGCCCGGAATGTCATCACCCCATGTTTTAAGTTGACGTATGTTAAGTAAGTAAGTAAGTTTTGAGAGACCAAGGTTCGATTGATGTTTTATTTCAAGCCAATCTAAGCTATGTTATGTATGGTTTTGGTAAAGATATGCTATGTATTGTTTTGAAAGGATCTCGGGTATCATTCATTTAAAACCTTTATTACTTATACTATTCACTGAGTATCCAAGCTCACCATCCCTATGTATATATGTAGGTAACAAACAAGAAATCAGTTACGCTGAGATGTGTGTTTTGTATGTATGTTATGTCGGCAATCTGGAAGATTATGTTTCTCGACTTGTAGCTTTTGTATTTTGAACATGTCGGCTTTAGAAGCCTTTTAGTCAAGATGTAATATGTATTTTTGTACTTCATTTTATTTGTATTCAAGTTGTAAAGTTATGTAAAGTTGTATGCCATTCTATTTGACTTATGCACAGCTCTTATAGACTAA